TTTAAGTTTTTATTTGCATGAAGTTATTAGAGGACTTTTAGGATTAATTTTAATTAGTTTCATGGGTCATTTTTCATAGATTTCAAGATTTTGATAATAGAACACAATTGCGTAGCACTTTTACTACAGTTATGCATGTCTTAGTTATGTAAGTTTGACCTTATGTTTTATTTTGCCATTTTCCATATATATATTTACTCATCTATTATTTTATTAAGCTTGTAGTTTTTATGTTTCAATATATGTATCAAAATGTTAGAAGTGTTTATTTATTTTCTCTTCCTCCATAAGCAGTTTAGCTCTTCCATTTCCAAGGAAATGGGCCTACACCCAAATGCTAGGCCGCGGTCAAAAACAATTTCGCACGACAGTACGAAAATATAGGTCTCCCGTTTCAGTCTGTCTGTCGGTCTATCTGCCGTCTGTCGCCGTCCGTCACCATCTGTATCAATTTTTATTAGACAGATAATTTCCGAAACTACTGGAGCCACTGTCGTCAAATTTTAGATATAAAACGCTAACCAAAATTTGTCTAATCATCCTCACGAACAATGTGATGACATCCCGTCAAAATTTTTCTTAGTAAGTAAGGCGTAAATGTTATAAAAATCATACTTCTGTATTAATGGTTTATGAATGAGCCTTGATTTTTAACACGATTATTTTAGAAAAAATAATTGTGTGGAATATTTGCCATGTCATGTAGCTGATATTTAGGTTGCAGGCATAACGAGCTCCTCGTTGGATTGTGGATTTATTTGCACCTCGTTGAACCTGGGTTCTGCTGGCGTGAGTTGGAATCCCATCCTCGTCGACAATTTTTTTTAACACAGTGAATTTGCTTCAATGTTTGATTTGTGGTTCGAGGGAAGTGGAAGTCCTGTCTAAATAATTTTAGAACAATTTTTAATAATACATAGTTGAATTGACAGTTTCTTCTAACATAATCTCTAGATCACGAATACGTCGATATTTACACCACAAACACTGTTTATGTTGAATAAAGTATTATAACCTATCAATGATTTTAGCACATTTTATTTACAATTTTCGTATAGTTTCTTTATAGTACTTAATCTTTATTACAAATAGGTATACAAAAGTTAATGGACAGATTCGCAGAATTTAATGACCAACACGGATGTATATATTTAATGTAGTTTATTCATTAAGTTAATTTACAATTTTTTTCATGTATGTACTACAGCTGAATTTCTGTATGTTATCTACACAGATTATAGTCTCTTGGTTTGGTTGTCGGGTAAGTTATATTTTTTTTATTTACCGTTAAATAGATCTTACACTATAATTTTTTCAACTTTCTTCATATAGAAATTACTGAGGTGAAATAAAATTTTCAAAATATATATACATTTCAATATATATATTTTCTTTATTTTATAAATGTCATCCATTATTTTTAATCCTATCGTGTTTTTTTTTTTCAATAGTAACAAATAAGGTTTTAACACAACAATATTCTGTTATGTTCTTAATCTAACAAGTGTTCAGTTTCATCAAGTGGGCGTTGTTTATTTGATACAAGAAAATTTCGCCAAAAAAATGGCACAGTTGTTGAAGGTGTTAATAATTTTATTATACGAAAAAATGAGGTTAGACTGTACTATTCCGCTTTGCCAGCTGTCCTCGCTTAAATTAAATTCTGCGTACCTAATGTTGACAAAAATTCAATTGATAAAATAAAAAATAGGAAGGTTATTATTTAATAAGTTTTTCCACACTTTTGCAGTAAAACCATATTTTTAATGCTCAATTGAAATTTTATGTTAAAACAACAGAAAACTTAAAATATGTAAAAGTACACGTAAAGGTCCTTATAATATTCGACTCAGTTGACTATATAATCGGTATAATCCTAAAACAATAGCTATCAATAGATAATATTAAACCTGTAATTAACTAACAGTGTAATCTCAACCTCTTTTGCCTCCATATGTAATCTATTTTTCATTACAAGTTCACTGATAGACAGGCTCAGGCCAAGTAGCGAACGCTTTAACTTTAGTTTGATGTGTTCCTTTTATGTTTCCAACATTGATTTCAGTTGACAGTTTCCTGCCGACTCTTTTTGTAATGTCAAGTAATGCACTTCTCGAACGCTCTTATCTATCATCTGTACTTAAAGATTCACACTTTATGTGCCACTTACTAAAGTTTTATGTTGCAGTAAAATGTGCCAAACCATAGATATTTGATAATGTCTACAGACAAGAGCCATAAAGATCATTCGGTGTTTATATTCAATAGTAAAACCGCAATTATCATTCCCAGTCCAATGTTGTATCAAGATAATGCACTGGCGCTAAACAAAATATGAAAACAGTTATCCACATATTAATCAGTGATAATAAAGCGAAAATTAAGAAAACAATACTTGAAAAATAATACCTGAGGTTACAAATTGGAAATCTCCGTATTGACTTCATCGCTGAATTAAATTAAGCCTTTGTCCACACAATATGGAAGTTGTCTGAAATACCAGCTCGGTCGGCTGTGGATCGTTTGGTTCGGAAGTTAGAACATATTTCGAAATAACAGGATCAGGAAACGGCGTATTAAGTTAAAAAAAAAAGAACCAAAAAGAAAGTCCGCTAAACTTCTAAACGCGAATGAGGAAGATAAAAAGTATCGTTGACGAGTGTTTGAACGCTTCACTAACCACATTTCATTTTATGGAAGAGCTTTTTCTCATGTTTTGTTAAACTTAAGATACTTTTTACAAGTGTTTAGGACGTTTATTTGGTTTGATTAAATGCAGAGATGGCCGCTGCAGTAAAGTGCATCGCCAAACTTTCAGTTAATTGGAAGTTTTTATTTAGCTACGATTTTCTATTCGTTAATATTAAAAGTCGAAGCGACCGGATCGCAGTGTTTAAAAGTTTCACAGTGAATGGAACATTTTCACCACGTAAAGATTTAATTAACTGGAGCGGAAGTGTTACTTATAATGCCAAATAAATTAAAGTATTAAGCTGTTGTATAAGTTTTCTAAGTTTTATGCTTATAGCGTTGCAAATTGGATAAACAATCTACCGGCGTCTAATAAATAAATAGATCTACGAATCCTTTGGAGATGTATTGTGGGTTGCATTCCCAATTCTGTCGAGCTCTATAGTTCGTCGTAAATCACTCTGTATATTAAATAAAATTTACAGAAGTATATATTCTAACACATTACTGATTCACAACTGATTTTGCTCCAGGAGCAAAGAAAGTTCTGTCTACTATCGTAACATTTATAACTTTAGACCTACTTTTTCTGCACTGTATGGAACTCGTTATTTGCGGCGCTGCTGTACACTAGCTTACTTGTATAAGACATTTATTTTTGTACGTTTAGAAGTAGTAAGCTATAAAGCGGTTAATTTTGTAAGTACTACGCGAAACCCTTTCTTAAACAACACTAAAACAGCTATAAAGAATGATAAGTTGCCTTGGGAAGGATAAAATTGCCATGTTTTGCAAATAAGTCACAGAGCATTTTCAGCAAGACCACGTACTACATTATCGTCCGATTTTTATTCGTTTTACAAATGAGTTTGGTGCTTTATTGTCCTAATTACCATTTCATCCCGCATTTGCTTGTTTTCTCGAGCTTTCAGCTTCAGTTTTGCCCAATTGATTCCGGGTTTGCTTATTCTTATTTCGCACATGCCGTAAGGAGTGCGTAAAAGGTGTAACAAATAGGTAAGTAAGTGGTGCCAATTAACTAAATTGCTTCAGGGGGCGCCAAAGGCACGCCTCAAACTGAGCGTACGGGAGAGAAGCTTAGATACTTTAACTAACTTATCAAATTTATTGTGTTCACGATAGCGTCCCGGTTTTAAGTTGAAATATCAGCGCCCCTCAGGTCATCGATATCAAATTTGGGTTTCAAATTAAAATACATACCTAGTATTAAATTAGTGCCCATTATCCCGCGAAGTTAAGACCGAAATGGGATTTTGGCAAATCCCTGAAAATACGAATGAACGAGAAATTTCGTACATTTTGCTACTAAATAGGGCGCCTGCATTCTCAGTTTATACATGTCGGTTCTCTTTTTTAAGTGTTAGTTTTTATAGCCAGTTAACAATATTTAGCAGATTCTTAAACAAAGCAATGTTATAAGAAATTCTTTAGTACCTAACTCAACCTTAAGAAAAGTCATTTGCTCATTTTTACTCTATACTGAATTCAGGTTCCGCCCTAGTTCCTCTCTGTTATAGGTTATAATTTCTTAAAATGTGCCATTAATGACAAAGCTGCCACTTTTCGAAATTCTATTCTTCTAATAATCAGCCCCAAGCCATTCTTGTAAAATTTTTTAAGTACTTACTGGAAACGCTTCCCGTTGATTTTTTGTCAGTCTGAGCTGTAAATATAAGCATCTTAGAACTTTATATATAACTAAAAATTTGCACAAAATTGTTTACCCAATTTTAAGCGAAACACTCTGGCGTTTAAATAGTCTTTTAGCATTAAAATAATAGTACAACGAACGGTCTTAAACAAAATGATCGCCGAAAAATTACGGGAGAATTCTGCGCCAAGCACTGGGAATTTGGACAACCTTTTATTATAACGAACACATTTTCAACGTATGCGTTTTTCTCGGCGGACTATTATTATTATTATTATTATTATTATTAGTTTATTAGTATTATAGTGATTAAGAGAGTGGAGAAAGAGTAATGTATAACAAGACGGAAGGAAGCAGCAAAAAAATCAGTTAAAATGACCTAACGAAAAAGAACAACCGAAACAATAAACATTGGAAAACATTGGTGGAAAGTTATTTCGACAGGACTTCCCTTGCCCCCGAAGTGCTGTGCAACACATCGCGCTTCTTTGAAAAAATAAAAAAATTTATTTTGCGAATGTGTATTCGTGATAACCTCTATGCATTAAAATAAATATAGATAATAATATCAGTAACCGCATAAGAAGATAAATAACATGATATAAATTCGTTTTGATACCCTATAATTTCTTTTGTTTCTCTAGCACATATCACTTATTTTTTGAATTCATTAATGTATCATACTTTAATCACCCATACCCCGCTACCGTCCACTGTCTAGTATTCCAGCACATTATGTTACCAAAACTGACTTGTTTATTTTAGGTCGGCAACCCTGGAGTAACCTGGTCGTCAATCCATGATAGGAACCGGATTAACAATTGATCCAAAAATATGAATGCATTGATGAAGGACAAGACTATACTTGTATGTACTGGTGAGTTTCCCATTTAAAAATGTTTCGATCAACATTATTTCAGCAAGGACACGTATATCAATTCCGACACATGCAGTGTAATACTAAAAATAACAGTGAGTTGAATCGCTTTAGAGATTTGAACAATAAAACAAGCTATTTTATAAAATTTAATTCTTAGCTACTATGAAAAAGTTTGAGTTGTCATGACATTGCTAGATACCATCTACACGATATTCCTAACATACATATTAAAATTTGACAACAATCTGTCCGGTAGTTTTATCTAAAATTTAAAAACTTACAAATCTGGACAGCCGGCAGACAGACCGAACCAGGAGATCTAATTTTTCATACTCTCTATGGGTCATGAAATGTCGAGAAAACATAAAAGTAGCCAGTCACCCCCCGATAGACTCGATTACAATACTTTCTTTGCTTACGCTCAAGAAGTAAAAATAAAATTCGCAAAATTAAATTTTATTTTGTGGTTTTTGAAACAAAATTTTGTTTTTCCAAAATCACCAGAGCGCCATTTGACCGTTACGGTCGGGTTGCTCTTATATTGCTATATTTATAAAATATTATTTAATAATTTGATTTTTTTTCGACGATAATGTGTCCCATAAAAATCGACACAAAAGACAAACAGACAAACGGAAACGATGGACCTATTTTTTCATACTCCAGCTGTCATAAAACGTCGAGAAAACATAAAGTTAGCCGTTCGCCGGATGGACCCTATTACAATACTTCGGGAAGTAAAAAAAACATAATATGAATGGGTACGGTTAAAAGTAAGTTCGAATTCATAAAACACCTATAATACTTATAAGCAAAGTATTTAACACAATTTAGATAGGATGTAAGGACTTAGGAAAATTTTTGCTAGCATTTTACAATCTGCACGAGATTCTTAAAATAAATCTAAAATTTCGCAGTAAGTTTGGAGATACTCGTAATGTACTTAAAATCTCTAATAGACGACAGGCAAACCACAGATAAGAAACACACAACAGAGAAAATGAAACGTCACACCGACTGTTTCATATTCTAGGAGATATGGAACGTCAAGAAACATGAAATTTGTCACTCGCCTCAAATGGATCATGTAGCTTTAACCACACGGGAGGTAGAAAGTTACAGGTGCTAAAAAAATATGTTTTTATCTCCAGTCTCCAGGTTGTAATGTCTAATCGTTCATCTTTGACGTGAAAATGTCAATCACAAATGTCAGCAACAGAATTATAGAATCATGAAAAGATTTAAATATTCACAACATGTATTCACAAAAACTAGACGCTAAAAATAAAAAAATGGCCATAAATGGTTGGGAATATAATGAAATAACAATTGATTTCTTTACAGCCATGGGACTTTGTAGATACTCGTAAAGTGTAAAAACAGTCAAACATACTATTATTATTATTTTGGATGAATAATAATAAAATTTCTAACATCATAATACTCTCTTCGTGTAATCATAAACAGTACAAATAATAATATAATAATAAATTAATTATAATAATAGTAAATTCGATGTAGACTTCGTACCTATCTCTTCAGCAGATCGAAGTGTGGTAACAATTGTTTAAAGCAATTTGCAATAATGTCTTTATTTCTATGTTTATGCAAGAAAAAATAAAGAAAATATACTGATAGCATTTTATAAAACATTTTTAAAGACATATAATACAAGTATATAAACATGATTAGTAATGTAAAAACAACCAGTATGTAAACAGGTACATACATCGATACAAAAACGTAAATAATATCTTTATATTACAAATTACAAAGCGTGAATTATATTTATAAGCCCTGTTTTAGAACCACTGTCTGAAAAATTATCTAATACGTTCAAAGCTGCGTCCGAGAATTCTTTCTTCAGCTGATCAGTTTAATCTAACCCTGGCCCACTCATAACAACCTTTCGTATTAAATCATAATTGACTTTTTTCTGATCAGATAATCCTTTTTCAATTTCTGTGTACAAATCAGGATCATGTTGTAAATGTAACATTACCGGCGCCGACACCAAGCTAAATGTTTCCTCTTTAATAATTTGATCTTTTTCTAACGAAGCCTGCCACGCTAAAGCTAAATTTCTACCAAAAATATAGGCCAGTTTAGGTACGAAAATTTCATGATTAGCCAAAATTAAACTACTCTGACAACCCTTTGTCAATAAAGTGCCACTGGCCGAAATATTTTTCAAAGTCCATTCTGCTTTCATGTTGCCTAAAACATTTTCAAATTTTAGAGGTTCTACTCCAAATTCGTTTGGAATTTTAACATCTTTTTGTTCACGAAGTGGTTTAGACGGTATCGGATTATTTTGAGCATCTCTTAATCCAAAAAATTCATATTCAGCCAAATCTCTTAAAGCTGATGAAATTATTTGTTGAACATGGTGGTTTTTTAAACGAGCAAGTTCCCTGCTACTGATGGCCAGTAAGTAGTCTCCATACAAAAGGGCTACTTTGTTTCCAAAATTCATCTCGAGTACATTTTTGGTAGAAGCGTCAATGCTTGAGAGACTTCTGTGCATTAAATAACCAGTTTGAATCATTTATATTACTTCAGCAATAACTCTTTGACTGTGGAGTATATCTACAAAGAATGTATTTGCAATTAACCAACAAACTAACGTCGACATAACGTTACCAGTAACACGATCATATTCACTTTCAGGAAAATTCCCACTTAATCCAGCCACTTTTGACATAAGGAGAACTATAAGTCCAAACGTTTTCTGTTCATGTTGAAAAACGAGATTTCTATAATAAAAAATATACAGGGTGCCGCATCCAAGTCTGGATATAGGGAATTAACATGCGAATTGGTTTTTATTTTATAATATCTCCCCAGATCACTTTAAAGCTATTATTGAGTGATGGCTTTGTGGAGGTCGAAGAGGGCTATCGGCCAGTATTTTTTTCAAATCGTTGCATCGCGCTCATTCACTGTAAAAAGGTTTTAAAAATCGTATTTTGAAATTCGCGCCCGATCCGAATTGTCGCGAAGTGTTCCGTCGTACTGTCGAAGTTCGGCGATCGCGTATTTTCATTACCCATGCAAAATTCAAATGTCAAAGTGAAATTAGAAATTATTCTCATCAGAAATCAACGAACAAGTCAAACTGAATTATTTTATCCAGTGTGATGATTATTGTAGGACAAATTAAACGGAATAAATGCACAAATTGATCCATTCATTCGTCATAGTGCGCGACCCCGTCAAACGAGCCATCTCGAACTACAATCAGACCGTATCCAAAAAGCCCAAGATGAAGACTTCAAGACTTCGAGCAGCTGGTCTTCCTCAAAACCCCATCAAAGCCCATCGGCAGCATTGCGACATTTTCTGGGAGCCCTCAAGCTAGGAATGTACTCGGGCTGCCTCACTCAGTAATCACTGAACGACTCAAATTGAATTATTTTATCCAATATGACGATTATTGTAGGTCAATTTAAACGAAATAAATGCACAAACTGCACAAAATATTTTATTAGGTTATGCTATGTTCTACTGCGATTAGATGAAAAAGCGGGGGCCTGCATGTTCTTCAACAGTTAATTTAATTAGTAGGTAATTTGGATAAATTTCACCCTTTTTTTTGGAATCACTAAAGATTGGAAGTCAATTGATTTTACATTCGTTAAGCAGCGATGGATTTTTGCCTCCAGGAAGCATCTTCATTACAGGAAATTTTTGAGAGAGAAATGTAGAACATTGACTCATCAACATTTTAAAGTATTTTTCTCTATTACGAATGTGTTTTGGGATTCAGAAACTTTTGTATTACTGTTTTATTTGTTTATTGTGTTAACAACAACAAAAATAAAAATAATATTTCGCAAAATAAAGTTACATTTATTTTCAAAGGTGATAAAAATTACATAAAATCAGGTGGGCACGACGTTTTCTAGGGGTCTTAAACAGATGAGATAGAAGAATTTCAAAAAGCATCATGACAAAAAATTGAAGCCTGGGACTACTTCTCACATATAGAGTTTTACGAAGGAACGCTTGAGAGAATCTAGGCTGATGGAGAGTTTTTGAGGAAAATTTGTTTTACTGACGTTCATTTGGTCTTAAGGGAAGTTATAATCGTCAGAACGATCAAATTTGAGCATTACACAACCGTCACGTGGTCCATGACCTTCGTTATCAATGGCGTGCAATTACCAGTGTATGACTGGGGCTTCTAGGACATCATGTCATTGCACCTTTTTTCATCGAATCCGGATTGAATGCTCAGAAGTAGGATAATATGCTAGCTCAGCAAATACTTCCTGGGACTCGAAGGGTGCGGCATCTGCAGCAGGTCTTTTACATCCAGGACCAAATCTCCAGCCATACAGTTCGCATAAATGTTGTTTATTTGAACCAGTATTGTTCCGCAATGTTGGAATGGAAAATTTGCACCGCCCCATTGGCCTGTGCAATCGCCGGATCTAAACCCCTGAGAATTTTTTCTTTGGAGATTTCTTCACGACCATCTGCATTCAGACAAGCTATACAAACAGAGAAGCGCTGAAACAAGCAATCCAGCAATATTGTCTTCAGATTTCAACTAAAATGCTGATCAACACACGTAGGAGTTTTGAAGATTGGCTTACTTACTGTACAGCTGGTGAGAGCAGTCTTTTTGAGCAATTCTTGAAAATAGTGCAATACTTCTCCAGATTCGTACAATATTTCATTACTTCATTCATCAACAATTGTTAAGTTTTGTTATTTGTAGTTATCTAAATGGTTCATTAAAAGGTCCTCTTCAAAAGCGCCAGCTATTTTGATGGTAAATCTTATCATCACACAATAAGAAAAGCGGGCCCTCGCTTTTTCATCTAATCGCAGTAGAACATGGCATTTTAATGAGATTTTAGTAATAAAGACTCGATCAGCACCAGCAACATAACCTAATAAAATATTTTGTGCAGTTTGTGCATTTATTTCGTTTAAATTGACCTACAATAATCGTCATATTGGATAAAATAATTCAATTTGAGTCGTTCAGTGATTACTGAGTGAGGCAGCCCGAGTACATTCCTAGCTTGAGGGCTCCCAGAAAATGTCGCAATGCTGCCGATGGGCTTTGATGGGGTTTTGAGGAAGACCAGCTGCTCGAAGTCTTGAAGTCTTCATCTTGGGCTTTTTGGATACGGTCTGATTGTAGTTCGAGATGGCTCGTTTGACGGGGTCGCGCACTATGACGAATGAATGGATCAATTTGTGCATTTATTCCGTTTAATTTGTCCTACAATAATCATCACACTGGATAAAATAATTCAGTTTGACTTGTTCGTTGATTTCTGATGAGAATAATTTCTAATTTCACTTTGACATTTGAATTTTGCATGGGTAATGAAAATACGCGATCGCCGAACTTCGACAGTACGACGGAACACTTCGCGACAATTCGGATCGGGCGCGAATTTCAAAATACGATTTTTAAAACCTTTTTACAGTGAATGAGCGCGATGCAACGATTTGAAAAAAATACTGGCCGATAGCCCTCTTCGACCTCCACAAAGCCATCACTCAATAATAGCTTTAAAGTGATCTGGGGAGATATTATAAAATAAAAACCAATTCGCATGTTAATTCCCTATATCCAGACTTGGATGCGGCACCCTGTATATATCGAGGATAGCACAAAATATGTAATTCGTTATACTTACGAAAGTGTTTGTAAAAACGGACGTTTCATTTCTATTAATTTTTTGGTGTAGGGTAGAATATTAGCAATTTCTTCATATAAAATTACTCTCAAATTTAAAAAAGACACAGTATATCCGACGACTTTTTCGGCTTCTTTAATTGCGGAACTGAACTCAATCCTTCGCTCCATCGTGTACGTTCTAATTTTTGTGTTTGGATTTAGAGTGGATATACGAAAAGGCTGCTTACTGCACGTTTCCAAAAATTTACAAAAACTCTTCATTTTTATTCTGTTAACACCAAAATTGTATTTAAAGTAACATATTCCCTGTAAACAATGTTTACTATTGCGTCGACTAACGTAGGTAACGTATTTTATAAAATGTAGATAAAGCCGTATAGTTCATATAAGTGTCAAAATTAATAACAGGTCATCAAAATGTTAAGATTAGAGTAGATCACGAAAATTCATCAGTTCTTTTATTCACACTTACACGTCAAAATTAATATTTGTTATCATCACGATTGGAATTTTAGAACAAGACTAACCTGATAGAGTGACCATATGTTAATTTTAACACTGATGCAACCTTGTCTTTCGTCATTGTTTTGCATGCTATAAACGTGGCAATACACACTTGGAACTTATTTCCACAAATACAGGCCTGCATGTAAAATGAATTAAGTACGCTTATCAGCAAAACTTTACCATAATTTTTTACTTTAAAAACCTGAAAATTACAACGTAGCAACGTAAAATCAAAAACCAAGTCAAAAATCAGTTCCTTTGCACCCATGCAATATCGATAAAATATTGTTAACATGGAACACGACCCTACACATACTGACTGCAAGATTACTAACATGAATACTCATACTATTTTAAGGACTTGTTACATATTTGTCATTATATTAGACGTCCAGTCCAAAAATATCACTTGGTTTTAGATACCAGTAGTACGCCCTCTGTACTAGTCTACGCCACTCAGTTTAGAAATTTTGATTTTACCTTCTTCGGATACCACCAGTTTTCTGTTATGCGTCATTAACTTTCAAGAGAAATCCACAACCTGATGTGGGTATAAAGATTTTTACCGTTCGCTTGATTTGACAATTATATCACGACATCCAGTCCTAGATACCACTTGGTTTTAGATACTAATAGTTGTTTAAAGTTAGTAAGGATGTGTGTAATAACAGAAGTCTTGTATTGTAACATGAAACAAGTACTCAAGGCTTATAATGATATGTATCCCGCAAGGATTTGTTATTTTAGTTTAGTTTAGTTTATTGCCAAAAACAGTTTACACCATACAGGCAATCTTAGAAATTTGAAAAACACAACATCTAACAAACGTCCAACTGAAAATAACTATCTACATACATAACGTACAAATATCTAGAAAAAAATATTTAACTAAAAATACACATTCTTATTACTTAACCTACCTATCTTAATACAAAAGCTCCTGTTTAAACCTATTTAATGAAATATTAAAGATGTCGATGGTAGATGGTAAAGAATTTAAAGCCCGTGCCACTCTAGTAAAAGGACTGTGAATTCCGTAGTTAGTTCTGTGTGAGTCGATTTCGAATAGTATAGGATCCCGGATAAGATGATTAGGTACCCTTATTCGAAACGAACTTAATATTTCAGGAGAATGAATTGAATTATTAAATATTTTGTAGCCGAAGACAACGATGGCATTTTTCCGTCGTGACTCCAATGATTTTAGACCCACTAACTCGAGCCGTTCTTCATAGGTGTACAAATTTTTGTTTATGTTGAGTTTAAAAAGTAAAAAATTGACAAACTTCCTTTGCACTCTCTCTAGCCGTATATTTGAACACGAATAATAAGGATCCCACACAAGACTGCAATATTCGAGTGACGATCTCACAAATGCACAGTACAACTTAATTACGACCGGTATATTTTTAAAATCTTTGCATTGACGTTTAACGAATCCACACATTCTCATAGCTTTATTGAGAATTCTTTCTATGTGGTACTCGAACGTATAAGACTTGTCAAACACTACACCAAGATCCTTTACCGTTTCAACTCTCAATATCTCGTTATCACATAAACAGTATCGGGCGCTTATCGGATTCTTGCATTTATGGAACGTAATAATTTTACATTTATCATAATTAATCAGTAAGTTGTTCATATCACACCAATTTGAAAACGAATCTAAGTCAGATTGAATTTTAAGAACATCTAGCTCCGAGCGAACTTCCATGTAGAGTTTCAGATCGTCGGCAAAGAGTAAGAATTGGCAATACTTAAAAATGTGAGTTATGTCATTAACAAAAAGAAGAAAAAGAATAGGGCCCAAGTGGCTACCTTGAGGAACACCGGATGTTGCTTTTATTTCTAGAGAACAGTCCACTGATACGAACGGTCTGCGTTCTGCCATTTAAGTAAGAGGAAAGCCATGAAAGTAAATTACCTACAATACCATAATGCTTAAGTTTGATTAACAAAAGATTTGTATCAACGCGATCGAAGGCCTTACTAAAATCCGTATAAATGGAGTCCACCTGGTAACCTCTTTCTAATGAGTTTGAGATATAATTACTATAAATTGCGAGATTTGTCAGTGTACTGCGCTTAGGCATAAAACCATGTTGTTTAGTAGAAAGGATATTATAATAAGTATCGAGAAGTTTATCAGCTATAATGGATTCAAGAACCTTACATAATGATGAAATAATACAAACTGGACGATAATTCTTAACATCTGTTTTTGATCCTGATTTGTGAATTGGTATGATAAACGATGACTTCCAACGGACTGGGCACAAACCCGACCTTAATGATTGCTTAAAAAGGATTGTTATAGGTAGAGTAAGAGATGGGCTACACATTTTCAAAAAGTAAGCTGGTATTCCATCAGGTCCCGGATTGAAATTATTTTTTAAAGATACAAGTTTTTGGAAAACAGCATCAAAATTTATTTCAAGATTGTTAATGACTTGGAGAATTTCAGAATAATTCGTTGTCGAATTTCGGGTATTGTCACTTGGTGTTTGGAAATGTTGTACATAAACCTCCTCAAAAAAATCGGCAAACAAGTTACAGATTTGCTGGGGATCATTAGAGCTTATATTATTGTAGGTTACAAAATTAGGAACAGAAACTGAGTTATTAACTGATTTAACAAATTTCCAAAAATTATTACTGTTGACGTTAATGTTTTCTTCCGTTGTTGATATTAATGTTGCATAGTCACCTTTAATGTATTTTTTTACAAGAGAACGAAGATGTTTGAACTTAGTAAAGTGTTCTGCGTTATGCGTGTGTCTAAATTTAGCAAACATTTTATTTTTCTTCTTCACGAGCATTTTTGTAGCTTTAGAAAACCAGGTTGGAAAGTTGTTATTTTTTATCATAGATTTACTAATAAAAGTAGAGCAAGCGTTGCTTAACGCATCATAAAAATTATTAAAATTTGTTTCGACATCCGTTGTACTTAGAAGGGCGTTCCAGTCTACGGAACCAAAATAATCATTAATAGAATCGTAAGGTGCATTTTTAAAATTAAATTTATATAATGGCGGAGATTCGATTTCGCAAAGATCTGAAGGGATAATTAATTTTGCATTACAAGGGGTATGATGTCGATCCATGTCAGGAACAATACTATAACTGTCCCTTTGGACACTGAAGTTTACAGAATTTGAGAGAGCTAGATCCAACGTATTGTTATTATGGTTTAGGATGTAATTTACTTGATATAATTCGAGATAATTAAAAGAGTCTACTACAATGTTATACAGTTCAGAATTATTATATATAGGTAGAGAGCGGATTTTATGAAATTTGCATATCCTTTATTTTTTGCATATAAGTCTTGTTATTTAATATGTGAACGAATCATGCTAATTAAAAATGAATACAGCTATAAAAAAATTGCATATTTGCATATATTTGCCTTCTGCTGCATATTTCACATGACGGGTGCATATTTTGCATTTTTAT